CAAAGAGTCTTAAATCATCATGGTCATGGATATACTAAATAAATCCTATTTGTGAGCTGGAGGGAAGGGATTATTATTGGGCTAAAAGCATCTGCAAAGCTGAAGGCTCGATAATGGGAAGCAGAAAAGCACCAGACTCTGTAGGAGGATTCTGCTGCCTTCACCTATGCGAGAGAAATGTCATGAAGGGTATCCACTGACTCACAAAGGAAGATAGGGGGAAGACAGAACCACAACTGGTAGATTGAACACAGTGGCTGCATCTACATGAGCGGTGGACTGCACATTTGTTACTGCATAGTCATTTAGCACTTGTATTAGCAAGTGCTAAATGACTGCGCAGTACCAGGTACACCAGTTACCGCGCAGTACCATTACTGCATACTTTTTTTCCCCAATGCTGCTGCACAGTAGCTTTTTACTACAGCGCAGTAGCTTATTACTACTATGCAGTATCGTTGCCACACAGTTAGTGCCAGGCCATGCTATTGCACAGTAAGTGAGCTACTACACAGTAGCTTGTTGCTACTGTACAGTAGCGTCTTCTGTACATGCGCCCTGTGAGGTGCAAAAAGTCCCATTCACTGCTTGTAATGAACACAATGGAAGATCTTCCTCCGACTCCACCTCAGTTATTCCCGTGCAGTTCTCAGCACTCCAAATCTTTGCACTGGATGCTTGCCAGTGGGATTACTGCTTGGGATAGAGTCGTTCAGACAAACTGCTTTTCTGGACAAAAACTGCAGTTTGGGTATTAAGGAGGAAGCAATTCCACAAAACTCTCTCTTCTGTCAGACACTCCTATTAGCTACCAAATATTTCAAGACTACAAAATGTTCCAACATCCTTTTACTGCTCCTACAGGAATCAATGTGAGGCACTGCCTCTCCAGCACCTCAGCTGCCCAGGTCTGATGTCCTACCACCTCTTCCATCGATTTGCCTCCCTTTCAGAGAGCAGCTTATTGGTCTATTCCTCTGTAACAGACCCCCACTAGGATAAGAAACAGTCCCAGTCCACTTCCCTATAACAAGGCTTGGAATGGTTCTTCCATACTCACTACCACCATATGCAGCTTGGTTTTGTTTGCACTGCTTCTATACACACAGGATTGGAGATTTCTCACAAAAGAACACTAAGCCAGTATACATTCCCCAAATCTGCTGGTCCTTCAGATACATGGTGGAGATTGGGTAGCTTTCTGTGTACTGCTCCCTCAATTTGTTCAGACTGGCTATAAGTGGACCCATCATGTTACCCCTTTAAATATAAAGGGCAGAATGGGTAGTGTGGCTGTATTCAAGCAATGCCCTTCATTACTGTACTTCCCGGCCAATGCACTTTAACTAAATAAAAAGATAAGTTATAATGGACTTTGAAGGGATATAGTCCATTCACAATAATTGAACTTACATTAATTAAATGAGGCCGCATTCACATGTCTTGAGAGAGGTCTTTTGGCCACAACCACTGAATCGGGTTGTTGCCCGATTTAATTAATGTAAGTATATTTACAGTACAGTTAATGGATTGGGCTATATTTAGAGCACTGTATAATTTTGTTCTACTGGAAACACAGCAATGTTGAGAAACTTATACAGTTCACAAAAATAGATATCTTTGTGAATTAATTTCGGCCGTCAATTCTTTTGGAGCACTGCGGATTTTTAAAGGAGTTCTGATAAATAAAATGAAAGTTACCAAAAAACCTCACTTTTATGGTTTTTGTTGCCTTCATAAAGTTAACTGCATACAGGTTGTGTTCTTCCATTCCAGTACCTATAGTCAGAATATTTGGGTCAAATATTATATCATTTGGATTGAAGCCCACTTTTTCCACAAGGAGGTGGTAAGCCCTGGTGCACACTGCAACTTTGGTTTCCACTTCTGTGGCCTAGAAAGAGAGAAGAATAAAAAAAATTATATTAGCACCAAAGCTGGGATGAAAACAAAATCCTAGAGAGCCAAGCTTGCAGGTCAGGTCAAAGCTTGAATTTGTGAGAGGGTATGAGAAGGAAGCAGATTTTTGAGTTCAAAGGGAAATTAAACAAGTAAACAGTTTTGAGATGCATTCCTCATGTGTACAATACAGTTACAACCTGGATACCCGACATGTGTACCTCAGGCACTCCTAACAATACTCCATCATGTATGCACCCTACATCACCTCATGCATTAATGACTGGTTCCTACCCCTTTATTTCCTCTCAAGCGCAAAATCCAGAGACTCTGAGAAAGAGGAACAGGAGAGCAAGATGTGCAATGTGCCCAGACAACAAGAGCTCAAAGAACTCCAGTTACTGGCTAGTAACGTCTTTCACCATCTAGTGCTAGATACACACTCTCATGGGTGAATTCACCTGAAGTCTGGAGTCTGAAACAAAATTATTGCAGGACTCCTTTACCAAATACAACTTCTGCTCTGGAAGACTCCATAATGGTATAGGCATCTGTCTCATGAGATAACAGAACTGCACCACAGTATCAGCATATTGAACATCTGTGAGTGTGCCTGTAGAGTCCAATCCTTGAATGGTAGTTCCTTCTGCACTTATCACATGTGAAGTTTGCATCTAACAGTCCTGGACCTGGTGTGGGGTTCTTCTTGAAGCTTCTTCTTTCCCCTGCAAGTTGGGCTCTTCTTTCCGCAAAAGCCTTCATTCTATGCTTAAACTGTTTACAAGTGCCTTGATCCTTGGCAATCTCCTCCTGGTTGCTTGACTCAATATTCATTGCCTTCATCTCTCTATCTTGCAAGCACCTTTGAGACAGAGATACGGGCACCTGCATGGTCTTCTTCCTATAAGAAGTTCTCCATACAAAAGATCCTTAGGTATAAAGCCACCATCCATTCTCTGCATATGACCAAGCCATTGAAGCTGATGCTGACAGGGAAGAGAAGGGATCCTCAGAACATTGGCACATTCCAGGACCTCAGCGTCGGCAACTTTGTCCTGCCAGCAAAGTCCTAGAATGTGGCAAAGGCAACATAAGTAGAAACTTCTGAGGTGCTTTTCTGGATAGAATTCGCAGTCCAGGATTCGCTACCATACAAAAGACCGTTGATGATGCAAGCATGGTATACTTTGACCCAGTCAATCAGCTTGTTGTTGATCCTTACTTGTTTACTCAACATGCTCAGGATACCTGATGCTTTGCCAATAAGGGTATTCAGTTTAGCCTCAAGTGACAGGTTGTTGGTAACAGAGCCAAGGTACATAAATTTACTTGCAACAACCAATACGTTTTCCACTTATTATGAACTTTCTGACCCACAGCATTTGTCGTCTTGGTGGTGACGGTAAGACCAAACTCCTGGCAAGCATGAGCAGGGGTGTGCAGGCAGCAGATTGCAGCTTTGCCTCAGCTCTGGACCACGTTGTCACCACTGCAAGATCCCAGCCCCAGTAGCAGAGCAGCTCCCTGCCCAGCCCAACACCCTGCCAGCACTGCTGGGGCCAGTCTCCATGGAAGCCCTGGCCCTGCATGGTCACAGGTCCACCACTACTGGGTCTCCATGGAAACTGGTCGTAATGACACAGGCAGGGGCTGCTAGAAAATGGAGTCTGGCTGCCAGCCAGATCCACCACTTTGCCCATCCCTGATTTAGACAGTCTTTGGACAGAAGTCTGTGCCTCTCAACTACAGCAACAAGTAGTTGTGAGGACCTCTGGAAGATTTAGTTGTGTGCACGTAAAAGGACAAGACTCTACTGTCCTTAGATGTTCTGAAGGGATCAGGCCCTTCGTAATAACAGGTGACAGAAGCCCCTAATTTGAAATGGTGGATTTTTAAATCACCACAATTAAGACCCCCACTGTTTCAATTTAGGGGACTAAACCCCCATCACATGTAGAAGCAGCCTAGAAGACCAGAGACCTTGTATTTGAAAGTTATTCATGTGCACCCCCAACCCTGGCTGGGAGGCATGCCACAGTTGTTGCTGATGAGCGGTAGGTGGGAAACAGGACCCTCTTCCAGGTGCTGTTTAGGTCCCTCTGCCATATGAGGGAGGATCTGATCATCAAGGGAATAACTGCTTCCACATCAAGCACGAGTGACTGGTGCCTCCCAAAAAAAAGTCAGTGGGGGGGGACCCCGCAGAAGCCTTCGATAGCTGTGGCCCCATTAGGGGGGCGGGCACCAGCCCTGCCAACAGCAGCCGTCTCAACCATCAACGAGGGCATGTGCACCCCTGTGCGTCCCCTACCAGTCATCTATGACACCAAGGAGGCATCTCCCAGGGGCATACTAACCACTGCTACTCCTGCAAGCACATGAGCTGTTACTCTGGCAAGGATATGACTGATAGTTATGTTTCTTCCTCGAGGTGGGTGCATAAATCCGTAGAAAAAGCAAAGGGTGTCCTTCCAGCCCTTGAGAGCACGCAGAGGCTCAACGCTTTGAACTAAACAGCTCTGCCTTTTAAAAGGATAGTGTTTTATGGGAAGCCCATAGCCCTGACACCAAGATGAGTGCTTCACGATGCCATGTGTGTTCATTAGCAGGAAGCCCTAGCAGCTATGTCCAAAACGACCTGAGGCAGGGTCTGGGCCACTGTCTGCCTGTTTGCATAAAAGGCAGAAAATGCTTCTCTAGACTCCGATGGCAATTTGTCATTAAATAATGCTGGAGGCTCATAAATTGCAGAAGTTGTTGTAACAGGGTCTAACGCCAGGGGTGGTTGTGATGTCCCTGGCATCCCCTCAGCCCTTGTTAACCCGGCTCTTTCTGGGCAGTCTCCCCTTCTCCTTGCTTGCCATGCCTTGATGAAATGATACTTTCAGAAAAAAGGAGGCCACCCCAGAGCTTTCAGAGTCATATCTCCTCATAAGTACAGGTGTCTGTGCTCATCACCTTAAGGACTAGTTATGTGGACAACATCCTCCCCAGTACCCACACCCAGGCCTCGCAGATAATCAGATTATAACTGCCACTACAGGCTATGGGCTCCTGGCTCTGTTAGTCCTTACACCAGCCACTCTTTATGGGCACTCTGGCCCCATCAGTCTCCAGCTACAGCCCTCCTGGCCTTTGGTCCCTCTCCTTAGACCTTGGCCCTTTTCCTAAGCTAGTTGACATCCACAGGTTCTCAAGCCCTGCCGGTCTCCAGTTGTGGCCCTTTTTGGCCTTCAGCCTCTTTAAGGGATCGAGAATGTAGCAGGTTAGAGACTGAAAGCCCCCCCATCCTGGACACTGTTTCTAGATAATTATTCTAGGGTTGGGAAAGCTATAATGTTACAGCACTGAAATGCTATTCCAGCTACTGAGCCATATCTCTGGAATGTCCCTATAAACAATAACCTACGGAAAAAATGGTCACATCAAAATTTAGAGGAAAGCCTCCAAGACCAATGAATTGGAAAAATCGGGAAACATGAGACAGCAGCTTCTCTCCAAGTGTTGCCATTGTTACGAAAGAAAGTGAGAAGATAAGCATGGCTAGAGTCCTGAGCATCACAGGAAGAGTCTGATGAAAAACACATCAATTGGTGGCTTGAACAAGCCTGGAAAAGGGGACTGGTTCTCCCTTGCAGAGCTGACAGATGTGATACTGGTGTCAGCAAGACTAGAGAAAGCAAGTCCAGGCCTCCAGGTCTGGCTGGACAGTCAAAAAATGTTCCGTATAAATGAAACAAAGCAACACCTCTCGAGATATCAGCACTGCTGGATGGCATGGGGAAGCTGATAGCTGCTGAGGAAGCGAAGTAGCCACTGCAGGTACTGAAGCATCTAATCCATGATGAATAAAATGGCAAAAGGAGATGCCACAGTAATACTTCATGTACTTATTTTTGTACCTCATCACTACCTGGGAAGCAAAGTGGAGTCTCTAAAATCAGACATCAGTGCTAGGACTTTGGTACCAGGATGTTTGTGAGCTTCATCAAAACCCACAAGTGGCCACAAGAAGAATGAAACCTAGTCAAAGTGAAAAATGGCGACATAGACCCCCACTTATCTAGAGAAGCTATATGGTATGTAGGCCATGGGAACCTTATGTCTTACTAAAAGATGACACAAACTAAGGGAAAAAACAAAGAGAAATCACATAACTAACTGAAGTTGATCCAAAAATTAAGGGGAATCATAGAAAGCTGGAAGGGACCTCAGGAGGTCATGCAGTCCAACCCCCTGCTCAGAGCAGGACCATCCTCAACCAGATCTTCCCAGCCCAAGCTTTGTCTAGCTGGGTTTTGAAAAATCTCCAAGGATGGAGCTTCTGCCACCTGTCTGGGTAACCTATTCCAGTGTTTTACTACCCTCCTAGTTTGAAAAATTCTTCTTAATATCTAACCTAAAACTTCCCTTGCTGCAACTTGAGGCAGTTGCTCCTTGTTCTGTCATCCGCCACCACTGAGAATAGGCTAGAAGTAAAGCATCAGCAGATTCTGAGAGCAGCTGCTGGGCAAGAACCAGTCTGGATCAGACTGGTAAAAGTTCTGTCTGGGGATAAGGCAGAGAAAGGGAACTGAGGGGTCAAAAGTACACATCGCCCTTTGTGTCCTGGGGGCAGATGAGGACAGGCAGGGCATATGCATTCTGTACAAGTGCTGCTAGTGCAGAAAAAAAAGGGGAGAATGTGCATATGGACAAGCACTCAAAAGGAAAAGTCTGAGAAGAGATCAAGTCTGAAGGTTTTGATTCAGTCAATTTGAGTAATTAAAAAGTTAGAGACAGAGAGAGACTCTGGGATTCTGGCATGGACCCAATTTCTAACATAAGCAAAATATAGGATACACAACTTTGGGAACAACTAAGTGAATTCACAGACCCAAGCCCAGGTTTCCTTCTGATCCAAATGCCAATAAGATTCTGAACCAGAAACTTGACAAGTCCAACAGAAATTTAAAAGAAAAAAAAAAAAGTCCCTGCTGTAAAATTCCTGTCCACCTAACTGCTGTGCTGGTTATCTAGAGAAGGAGAGTAGGCTTATGGTCCACCAAATCCAACATGGCTTCTACAATCAGCAGAGCTTGGTTTTCTACAGTGGAGCAAGGTTCAAGCTGTTCTTCTACCACCCTTATTCACACAAAATCCCTCATTACCTCCATCTAGTGGCTTCAAGGAAATAGTAGATCTGTATAAAGCATTAACATGATATAATCAGGCCATCTCTAACTGCAGAGAAAATTAAGACCACACAGACTTCTTTGATCATATTTGGCTAGGAATACAAGGCCACTTTGCCTCCCATGGGAGTGAGGGGCCTTTAATTTCAATGATGAACTCTGTCCGATAGGAAAAGCAACACTCACTTGACCCACTTCATCGAAAGCCATAACAACAACAGCTCCTCCATATAACTTAATTTTTCTTGCTTTCTCTAGAAAGTCCTCTTCACCTTCCTTCAGGCTGATGCTGTTCACAATGCATTTCCCTTGACAGCACTTCAAGCCAGCCTCAATCACAGAGAAATTTGAAGAGTCAATACATAATGGCACCTATAACCAGCAGAAAGGTAAATAAAGAGTGTAAAACGCAAATGAAAAGAAAAATGTTCCAAGCACCATTCACCACCATCAGAAAGATTATAAAAAAGCAAGCCTCCAAATGTATCAGCTTTTCAAGTCTAAGAAAAAGAATAAAAAATAGGAGTTATCCACAAACAGAATAGCATCCAGAACCCATACTTCAAGTACAAATCTAAAAGCATTTTTACTCGCACACAAACAGCAACTCCATAAACACACACAGACAAAATATCCTATATGTTGTGTGTATGTAGAGATATTTTTACTTCTATAACCTCTTCCTTCATAATACAAATACTTATTTTTAGAAAGTTTAATTTCTTGGTATTAAAACTACCTTACATCCCAGCTAGTTTTGAACCCCTGGACTTCAAAAAGCTTGAGGAAAGATTTTAGAAGGAATCTATACAAGGAAAGATTGCTAAACACAGCCTTGTACTTCCCATTTATAGGCTGTTGATCGGTAGGAGAAGACCACATTTTATTTAGCCAAATGAAAGAAAAGCAAGAGGAAAGGGAAGAGCATAATAAAAATTTCATTCCTCAGAAGTCCATTTCTGCTATATATCATCCCCCATTTAACATGTATGACTCCTCTCTGAAAGGAAGGGAAGAGCCACAGTCCAATACTTGTAGCTTTCCCACCACCAGAGGGCAACTAAATACACACACGCTTCACCAGCATGCAAGACAATGAGTATCAACATTTTCCTGAAATTAGGATTCAGAGTACAACAACAACAAAATCTGTGTTCTGGGTTGAACATGGTACAACCTTGGCTATGTCAGGTTCAGAAGCAATTAACTTGCAAAATCTGGCCATCGCATTTGGGCCATCCAGCATTCCATCATCCATGTTGATATCCAAAATCTGGGCTCCCATCTCAACTTGTGCCTTGGCTACACTCAGAGCCTCCTAGAGGAGAAATTTAAAAGAGTGAATAGCACCACAAATGAAAGCCTTTCACTTTCACTAATTCACATAACCATGTCATTTTCCTATTAGAGTTCCTTCCTTGTTGCAAGTCAATGATTCTCAACAGGGGTACTGCAGCAATCTGGGGTGCCCTGAGATCATTTCAAGGCTGCTGCAGGGTGCCACAAAATGTTAGCACTATTAAGTGTGCAAACATGATTTCATAAGACAAATCCATAGATTTCAAATAGGAATTCACCAAGTTAAAAACATTCTGACCTGTTGTGGTGGTCCTTGAGATTTTTGCAGCACAAGGATTAATCTAGTATTTTTCTGTAGTCAAAAAATGACTGTGCAACAGAGAACCCCCGCCCTGTTACTGGGAGGCTAAGGGAGAAGCAAAACCTGCAAGGGCCTTTTAAGAGTAAAGTCTGTGCGCTCCAAAGTGGTAAGAACACAGACAATGCCACTTGGGAAAATCCCTTGGAAGCCACTCCAAGGGTGGCCTTGGGTCACTCTAGCCCTGGATGGGGAAGAATAAGGATCTAGGCAGGCCAGAGCCCAGAGTTACGGTAAGGGGGCCGCAGGTATGCAAAGGCAAATAAGTCTCTTCTTTGTGTTCTCAGTTCAGCCAGGGTAGGGATGATTTAATTCAGGTTATTCTTTGTATTGTGCATACCCGGACAGGCTGCATTTTTGTTGTGATCAGGATAGTAACATCCAGAGGACCAGTTTGTGGCTGTAGAGGTCGTTAGGAGGCCATACAGGGATGGCAGAGAGGCACTCCACGTCTGGCCCTGCCAGAAGAAGGGCACGACAGAGAGAGACAGGGGCAAGGGGGCTAGAGCTTAACTCCCGAAAAGGAAACAAACCAAGACCAAGAAGCTGAGTCAGAGTAAGCGGGCTCAAGTTAGGGGATGACAGAGGCGATGACTGAAGCCCTGAAGGCTTACATTTGGGCCAGTAGGGTCACGAGTTGCGACTGCCAAGGTACAGTATGCCACCAGGGTACAAGTAATTTTGACTGGGTACATGAGCTGCCTACAGAGAAGCCAGCAAGGGCCTGGTAGTGGACAGAGGGCTCAGAGATCAAACAAGTCCACTAGGCACCAAGAAGCCCACTCCAGAACTCAGGGGCAGCCTCCCAATCAACAGAAAAGGAACATCAAGGCATGGCAAGAGAGATAGAAAGGAGGGACTAGGGTGGTCCACAGCAGGCATCATAGGAGCCCTTAGGGTTATAGAGTGAAAATTAAGAATTGACATTTTCCAAGGGGTTTCTTGAGTCCAAAAAGTTGAGACACCCCCACTTCTGGGTTCCTAAAGAGCTGGGTGCTCCAAAGGGCTGCCTAAGGTTGCCTCTTCAAGCTGCATCTTTAAAAAGGACTTTCCCTCCAAAGCCACTCAATTACTTCCATTTGTCTAAAATCCACCCTGGTCTGTGGAATCCCAGCGTGATTTGGAGAATGGCAAAGGGTGGATTACACGAAAACAGGTCAAGTATTATGCACTGCCAGCAACTGCACAGAGATATATGTGCAGGGTAGAATATGGAGGGAAGTGAATTGATAAAGTGATTTTCTAGGCAAAGTCATCTTAAAGTTAAAACATGAAGCAGAGACCTTGATCAGCCTCTAGAATGTCCAACCTCCAAATCAACAGAAGCAGGGGACTAGGCCACCCCCAACCAAATTGGGTCCTTTCTTCTAGGGAAATTCTGGGAATACTCCAGGCACTTGCTGCTACAAGGCATACTGGGTCACAGCACTGCAATATATAAAATGTGACTGTTCTATTGAAAACCCTTGGCGGTGTATATATGTGGACCCCTCAATACCACAACACTTGTGAACTGGCTCCCAGTGACATTCTTGGATCAGTTCAATTGTTGCACGTGTCCACAGTTTAATTTAGATGGCATGATATAGCGCAACAGGCTCTAGTATAACAGATCCTCTGCTGCTGTAAACTGTCATGTCTGAAATGAACAACGTTGTGACAATTTACACCAACTGAGGATCTTATCCAAGGTCTTTTCATACCCATCCAGAACTGTCCCAAGCTGCAGTGGAAAGGTTTTCAGGGATACTTTTCCTATCTTTCCCAGTTCAACCCTTGACTCCAAACTGCTGAAGAAACAGTACAGATCAAGGCAGCATCCTCAGCTGTGCAGCTAGAATCAAACAAGGAACAGACGTTTCAGTAACACTAGTCATACAGCTAATAAAGCCCCAGTTAAACCCTCCCTGGTATTAATCAACTGCTGTTAAATACAGTAGGGAACAAAGAAAGAAAGAACATTTAGAAAGCCAGGAAACAGAATTCAAGTTCATGCAAGTGGACTGAATAAGATGTGCAGACATGATGGCTGAAAAGCAAGGCAATACCATAAGAAAAGCTATAAAACTATATGGTTTAATCTGTACACCATCTAAAAAAACTAGCATTAGAAATTCACCTCATAGTTGCCTTTCATGATGAGCTTAGCAAACTTCCTGGATCCTGCAACGTTGCAACGTTCACCAATGTTAACAAAGTTGGTGTATGGTCCAATCCTGAAGGGCTCTAAACCTAAAAAAGATATTATATTTACAAAAAACAAAAACAACCTCCCCCCCATAAGTATACAGAAAAAGAATGGAAAACACTGTATGAGAAAAACAAGTTTACCCCCAATCCAAGCAATGAAGCCTCTATTAATCTCTGGGGATACAGCTCCCTCAGCACATCAGGCTGGAATTGAAAATGTGTACTTTCTCCTGTTAATTATTATAGTCATGTACAAACTCTCACTCACTGACAACATTCTTAACTGCAAGGTCTAGCAACTGTATCTCATTTGCAAGAGAGAAGGAAAGAGACAGAACCAGCCACATTATACCAACCTAAATAAGGCAATGCACAGGCATGCTGATGGGAGACATTCTCTAGAGAAAAGTAACTGTATACCATCATACCGATATACAAGTATAAATCATCCTGATCTGTTTTGCTCACGGTACCCTTCATCAACACCAATGGGATTTTGTATGTTGAATGGCTGCAGGACCAGGCACAAGAGACAACGGTTTCTTTATTCACCATATGTAATAAAATTCAGTCCCAGTTGTTTGAAGTTGATGAGTAATTCGTTCAATCCTCCCTGCTCTCAAGGGGTGAGCAAATGCAAGTTGCATGGAAGTTAATGAGGTACTGCATTAAAATGAGGCTACCCTATGCATTAAGGCAACCACAACTGAAAGTTAGCCTAAAGTTATTAATGACATAAGAGAAGAAGCATAAAATAGTGATGCTTTGTGAAGATTATCGAATAATGCTAGAGGGCAGCACTTACTTCTAACCATGTAAAACACTTAACGTTACTTAGAAATTGTGACAGTCCCTTCTGCTATCCAGTTTGAAAAAATACCCCACAAAGGCTGTGGAGGGTCTAAAAATAATACTTCTTTGGAGGGGAAAGACGTGTGTGTTAACAGCGTATCAGCTGAATCTCTTGCAACTGTTTTGTCTATCCACTCCTAACCTGCAGCAAGTGAAACTAAACAACAATAATCTACCCCGAATGCAATAGATGAGGCAGAAGAGAGGTAAAATAATTACAACAGATTCAGCTGAACTACAGGTAAGTCCCTCCCCTATTTAAAGCGGTATAATTGTTTGGTCTACCCACACTCTACGTTTCTACATATATCTGCAAGGATAAGCCATTTACTTACTGGCACTCAAAGGGCAATAGCCAATTCTTTTAACAACCAGAATTTTCCCAGTTCATTGAAAACATTCAGAACCTCCAAACATAGTAATGTTGGCCTCAGAGAAGCTTTTAAGAGCCACACCAAATAAAAAACAATCAAATATTTCACTGGGATCCCAGTTTAACTGCCACAGAGTGAAGACAGCTTTTTCAGGGAGATGAACTTACTGTCCCCAATTCCCATCCTGAGGCTGAGCTCAGAATGAGACCAGGGACTGTAGGTATCTTTTATTTAAAGCTCAAGTCAACCAGCTGCTTGCATAAAAATTGAAACATGGGGAACAAGTAAGTTACCATTGGTCAAGACACAATTAGTTGAATTTACATCGGACTATTTTTGATTTTGAGAAATAAAAAAGCCATCCTGAATAAGGGAATGAAATCTTGCCATTGTTCTGATGCACTTACTGTCAAGGAGACTCACAAACATAATTAGGGGCCTACCCAACTGGAGGAGACAGCCAGGCAATTTCACAGGCAGATTACAGGGCCTGCTGCCATTTGAGGTTTTATTGTGGGTGGGGCCCCTTCACACCTCTGATTGGCCAATGGGCCCTGGTGTCCCTGCCAACAATTGATGGAAAAAGCTCTCTGTTGTACAGCTGCTGCCCTGCCCTGCTGATTGGCTGAGAAGGCTGTCCATCATGAGCCTCCCCCCATGCTGACTGGTTGAGAGGAGGGGCTGCATGAGGGGGCGGAGGAGGTAGCAGCTATCTTGCATGTTAGCCTTCATGCCATCATCCTCCCTCTGCTCTTCCCCCAGGTAGGCTGCCTAGCCAAGACTGCTGGCTTCCAATAGAGAGCCAGCATTTCATTTTTAGTACGATTCCCTCTTCCCATGGATCTTGCGTAGATTTCCATAAAAACTGAGCAACCATGATTGGGTAGGTCCCTAATCATAACATTTGGCTGGATGCTGTGTTTTCAGGGCACTTGCCTAGGATCAGGATGCCTGGGTTCAACTTCCAACTTTGCCACTGACCTTCCACGTGACTTTGGACAGTCCAGCTTATCCCGTGTGCCAAACTTCCCCCGCCTGCCATATGGGGATAAGTAAACCAACCTTTCTTTGTAAAGCACTTTGAGAAACAGCAACTGAAAGACTGCAAGAGTTAAGCTTTGCTATTAAACAAGTTGTGAAGCCAGTGTGGATAGGAATGTCTCTCAGGCCTCACTGATTAGGCATCCAATCGTTTCAATAACCCTTTGAATGTTACTAGGGATTCATGCAAACTGTTATATTTCAGGAGGTGTGTATGTGGT